ATCTGGGGTGCTGGGGGATTAAACCCTGGTCGACTGTGTGCAGGACAAGCACCCACCTGCTGTACTCGTGTTCCAGCCCCTTTCTGATTAATTCTTATAAAAGTCTTGTGAACTAATGCTGTGGCTATTCATCTCAGAGATACCAGTAAAGAACCAAGACTTAAAACACCTGCAGAGGGCTGGATGGGGCTGGAACGATAGTACAGTGGGGATGGTGTTTGCCTTGCTTGCGGCCGACCCAGGTTCAATCCTCAGCATCCCATATGGTCCCCCAAGCACCGCCAGGAGTAATTCCTGAGTGCAAAGCCAGGAGTAAGCCCTGAGCATCACAGGCTGTGCCCCAAAAAGAAAAAGAAAAAAACACCTGCAGAGGACTGGAGAGATAGCAGGAGGCAACTCCTCAGTTCCCGTGGGTGCTAGGGTAGTGCTCATTCAGCCATGGAATTGCCCCAAGACTCCAGGCGAGACTCTGTGGGCTGCCAGATGCTCTGACTTTCTTGTTCAGCACGTTGCCTCGGCCTCTGTTGAGTCTGTGTGGAATGCAAGGTCAGGGTTAATACATGATGATGTTGATCCAGTGCGAGCTGAGCATGTGTGTGCGAGACTTGTCCTGTAGCCCAGAGACACGGGATGGAATCTGGCTCTGAGGAAGAGCTGGTCAAGGCTTCTGGGGCTTCTTTGTCAGTCTCGATGTTCCTCAACCACAGAGACCTGGATTTTGCCCTCATCCTCGTCTTTGCCTTGAACACACTCCAGGAACTGAGATTTACCCTCTGCCGACCTCCACGCCAGCCTGCGGTGATGGCAGAGATGCTGGCTGGCAGGAGACCCCAGGAGCTCTGGAATCAGAGTTCGAGAATGTGCTCCCCTTGGCGCAGCAAGCAGCATCAGGACCACAGCTACCGCTGTCCCTTTGTCCCCAATTTTCAAAGGAGCAACAGCTCAAGTGGCCATTACCCATGCTGGGTAGGGGGTCCCGTCACAGCTGAAGAGTCATGAACTTGGGGCAAGCCACCACCGTCCTCTCTTCCTACCACCCCTTCTTTTGAGGAGGTGGGAGGTAGCTTCATCTCTCCAAGTGCCTGGCGGTGAACATTTGGTTGGGGAAGAGTGACCACAGCCCACATTACCAGCTGACCCAGTGATAACATCCCGTCCAGTCTTAGGGATGTCTCACCTGGTGCCAATCACCCATCATTGCTGTCAAATCCTCTTTGCCCTAAAACGCACTGTGCCCTGAGGCTTTCCCCACCTGCCCCATGCAGCCCTTCTCCTTTCCTTTTGGACTGTCCTCCTCATAAAACCCACCTTCACCACTCCTTTGTATCCCCCATAATCCCTCCCCACCTGCAGAGTGCTTGTCTCTAGTAGGTGCTGGTACCTAACTTTAGAATTGGGGCAATCAATATCTTGATGCATGGTTCTGCTTTTCCTTAAAAAAGAAAATGTTGGACTTGCCTCTTGGAATGTCTTCAGGATTCCAGAATCTAAAAATATCTCCCCAAACCCTTGGAGGGCTGCTTTCCTTTTAAGGAGCAGGACTGGACTCCCTGAGGCCGAAGATTTGTGGCCACCAGGTGGCGTCCCACCCTAGACTCTCCCGACGCCTTTTTTGGACTCTGGAAGGATTTTTCTCCCAGAGAACGCTGTGTGTCTGCTTAGGTCCCTGACTCAGAGATAGTTTGTGTCATCTGTCATCAGCCCAGAGCCCAGATTCAGCCCAGCCTCACTTAAAATGGGCACCATGAGGGCACTGAAGATGTCCCCCAGGGCCATTAAGGAACACTGGGCCCTCCCTTGGGACTAGAGGACCAAGGGCTGGTTAGAGGTAAACTGGGGAAAAATCACATATAACATCTCTGGATCCAGTAAGAGCATCTGAAAATACAACTGAGACTGGAGAGATAGTCTAGGGGTGAAGACTTGCCTTGCATCCCACTGACATCATTTTGAATTCCCTGAACACTGCCAAACCTCAATCCTAAGCACAGAGACAGGAGTATGACCCCCTCCTCCCCCTGCCCAGCACAGCCTACTATGCATCCCCCTCACTATGCCCTGTCCCTGTTCCCCAAACCTGGCACACCTATGTTTTGGGCCACACATGGCAGTCTTAGGTCTACTCTAGGCTCTGCGCTCAGGGGACCACATAGTGTCAGGGATCAGACCCGAGCCATCCCAAATGCAAAACTTGTGCTAAGCCTGTTGACCTGTTGAGCTGCCTTCCTGCCCATATCAAGATGACTTGAATGAGGCTCTGGATTCATCCAGACTCAGGTTGCTTAAACAACCACTCAGAATTTATTTTTAAATTTTTATTAGTGAAACACCATGAGGTACAGTTGTAGACTTACAAATTTTTGTGCTTGGGTTTCAGTTATACAATGATGGAGTACCCATCCCTCCACCAGTGCCCATTTTCCACCACCACTGATCCCAGTATCCCTCCCATCCCTCATCCCCCTCATCCCACCCTGCCTCTGTGGCAGGGCACTCCCTTTTGTTCTCTTTCTCCTTTTGAGTGCTGTGGTTTGCAAAAGAATCATTGAGTGGCAATCATGTTCGGTCTATAGTCTACTTTCAGCATGCATCTTCCTTCCTGGGGAGATCCTCCCAACACCCTTTACTTGGTGCTCCCTTCTCTATCTGAGCTGCCTTTTCCCCTAGCATGTGCGACTGGCCTGCAAGCCATGGAGTGATCAGCAATTTTTTCAATGCATAAAGACTGCATATATATTGTATATGGGTCCGAGGATCTGAGGACTTCGCAAGGAGGAAGAGGCTCCGAGAGGTCAAGTGCTCGCATCTGTGCCCATGTTCCTAGCACTGTCAGTGACTTGGACCTGGGCCGAGGGTGTCCAGGGCTATACCCTGGGCCCTTATGCCGGATACCTTCCGCAGATATGAGTTTCATGCACTGTCTTTGTTCATCTAACCAGTGTTTGTACTTTCTTGAGCACATGCAGGCAGGACTAAGTCGCATGAAGAGGCATTAGCTCTCTGAGAAACCAGTTTCCTTCCCCGGGGGAGCCTGGAAGCTACCCGAACAGTGAGGCTGGGGACCACAACCTGGTCACTGCACTAGTGGATGAGGGACTAGGATCAACAGGGGTTGGGCACAGGCGTGATCATCTGCGTATGAGGTGGCCTCTCACCGCCACTGTGGATTCACAGCCACACGGCCAGGCAGCCACCCAGCCCTCAGACATGTACTGAATGTCCTGTGTACCACCCATAGGCAAAGATGGGGAAGATGCAAGCGCTGACGACTCTGAGGGAACAGGCTCAGACCTGCAGAGGCAGAAATCAGTAGCTCGAGGCTTTGCTCTTCAAGCCCAGTTCTCTCTTGCATCTGGATCTCACTGCTTGCCGCCAGTCTCTTTGCTTACTTATTTCTACTCTGGAGAAGCCTGTGTTGTCTCTCGAACACATTTCTTCTCTTTCTCTCCTCCCACATCTTTCTCAGTAGGTTTTTTTTTTGGGGGGGGGTCACACCCAGTGATGCTTAGGAGTTACTCCTGGCTCTGCACTCAGGAATTACTCCTGGCGGTGCTTGGGGGACCATATGGGATGCTGGGAATCGAACCTGGATTAATTGTGTGCAAGGCAAACTCCCTACCCGCTGTACTATCGTTCCAGCCCTCTCAGCAAGTTTTGTTCAATAAAAACAACCTTGCTTAACTAAAACAAACATACAAACAAAGAAATCAGGAACTGGGGCAATAGAGCATGGAGAATGCATGCCTTACACGCATCCAACCAGGTTTGATCCCAGCACCACATATGGTCCCCTGAGTCCTGGGTATGGTCCCCCAAAACAAACAAAACAAGAGCCTGGGAGTCTGGATCCATTTAAATGGGAGTTTGAGTTTAAGTTTGCCAGGCAAGTAGGACCTGGAATGAAAGGAGTTCTGAATTTGTGCAGGAAACTGAGGTGTCTGGAGTGGGGAGTGGGGCTGGCATACCTAATTGGGGTTTTTGATATAGAAAAAAAGTGAGAAAGCAGGAAAAGTGTAAGTTCTTTGGAAATATGCCCCAGAGAATAGAACCCTGCTTTCTGTGTATGCTTGTAGGAGTGGTGGGTGGGAGTTGAGGTGGGGGCGGGCAGCTTAAATTACATAGGTGTGGCGTTTGGGAAAATGTCCTGTACAAAGGTTGGGTCTCCAGGGGAGAGAATAAAACCAGAATCCATGAGGGGCTTCCTGGTCTGAGCTGTGTTTTCCTCCCTGGTGAACTTAGGGAACCAATCGTTTGCCGTGGTTTGGAAGCCGAGGTGATGTTTTTGTAAAGCATCCCGGGGCCAGGCAATTACGCTCATGGCCTTGACTGTCCTTAAGACCTGGGTTTGAGTCCAGATTTTAAATACCACCGAGACTGATATTTAAAAGACTGGGCAGGAAGACAGGGCTCCTCAGCTGCGGATTCTGGGGGCCGACGGCCCCGCTGGGTCGGACCGAGAACTGGGATAGCCCAGACGATCGGGACTGGGTGAGTTCCAGGTGCGCACGTCGGGGCATCAGTCTGTCCAGGTGAGCCTGGGTCTCAGCGCAAGCTCAGCGCAGGTCCCTTTCCAGCGCCCAGGGCGCACCGGCCGGCCAGGGGGCCCCCGCGGGGGCGCCGGGACGCGAAAAGAGGAGAGCAAGTTACTGAGCTGGAGGCTCGGGGAAAAAAAGTCCCCAAAACAGCCTTCTTCCCCCGGCGCGCTTGGCCCGGAGCCCGGAGGCAGAGCGGGCAGCTGGGGCCAGATGTGGACAAGTTGGCGCCGAGCCCGAGCGCAGCAAGAGCGGGCGGCCGGGGCATGCGCGCCCTCCGCCCAGCCCGGGGGGAGGGTGGGAAGAAAGAAAGGAATCCGGGCGCCGACGGCCAAAGGGGGGCTCCCGGGCGGGCGGGCGGCCGGGGCAGCGGGGGCGGAGAGGCGCGAGGGGAAGGGCGAGGGCGGGCGGGGTGGAGCGAGGGAGCGGCCGCGCCGAGGCCCGGGGAGGCGGGAGGGGCGGCGGCGGGCAGGAAGGGTGGGGAGCCGGCGGGAGGAAGCGAGGGGCGCCCGGAGGGGAGCGAGCAGAGGCCGGGCCGTGCCGCCCCGCCAGGCGCCGTCATTCCGCTGCTCGGGGCGCCGCCACCGCCGCCGCCGCGCCCGGGGGCCATGGTCCCGCCGCCGCCGCGCCAGCCGCCGCCCCCGGCGCGCTCGGGCCGCGGCGCCGTGAGCCTGCAGCGCGCCTTCCTGCGCGGCCCGCTGGGCGTGCTGCGGCTGCTGCAGCTGCTGGCCGGCGCCGCCTTCTGGGTCACCATCGCCACCAGCAGGTACCAGGGCCCCGTGCACTTCGCGCTCTTCGTGTCCGTCTTCTTCTGGCTGCTCACCCTGGGCCTCTACTTCCTCACGCTGCTGGGCAAGCACGAGCTGGTGCCCGTGCTGGGCTCGCGCTGGCTCGTGGTCAACGTGGCGCACGACCTGCTGGCGGCCGCGCTCTACGGCGCCGCCACGGCTATCATGATCGACCAGACGCACCAGCACAGCTACTGCAACATCAAGGATTACCAGCTGGCCTGCGCCTACCGCGCCTTCCTGGCGGCCGCCGTGTGCGGCGGCCTCTGCCTGGGCCTCTACCTGCTGTCGGCCTTCTACGGCTGCTGCCGCCGCTGCCAGGGGGAGCAGGAGGTGGTGTGAGGCCGCCGCGCCGCGGGGCCGGGGAAGCGGGGGACGCCCCCCGCCCCGGAGCGCCCGCCGCGCCCCGGCCCTGCCCGCGCGCCCCGCGCCCGCCCGTCGCGGCCTCTGTGCGCACGCAGTCCCGAGCTGCCGCCGATTCTCCCCCCCGACGGCGCCGCCGCCGCCGCCCCGAGTCTGGATCGCCGCCCGGGACGCGCCGTCTCCAGGGACTGGGGCCCGGCCACAGGCGAGGAGGAGGGGGCTGGACGCGCGCGCTCGCCGCTGGACCGCCCTGAGGCCAAGCCGAGAACTGTTCCCTTCCCTGCTGAGAGCGAGACGTGGACAGGCGCCGCCGCGCACATCCGGGGGAGGCTCCCAAATTGGAACCAGGCGAACGACTGCGCCGCCGCCCCCCTCCCTCCTGGCCAGCTCCCGGGGGCCCCCGCCAGCAGCCCCGGGTACCGCCGGGGTGGGGCAGGAGCGGTGCTTCGACGGCTCCGCGTGGGGCGTGTCCGCAGAGACGCGCGCGCGGATGGGAGGGCCCCGGGGGATGTTCCCTGGCACCCGCCGAATCTCTCCCTTCTCTCCTCAGCTACCGTCTGTGAGGGAACTGGCCCAGACGCACAGTCGCTGCTGCCTTGACCTCCCCTCCTAGTCTTGCGCTCACAGGCTTCTGCCCCTCCCTACTTCCCAACATCTTTTTTTTTTTTTTCTGTTCGTTGGTTTGGGAGCCACACCCAGCGATGCTCAGAGGTTACTCCTGGCTCTGCTCTGGGTACCATATGGGATGCCAGGGATCGAGTTCTGATTCACCGTGTGCAAGGCAAGCTCCCTACCTGCTGTATTATCCCTCTGGCACCCCAACATCCGTATTTTTAAAATTTAGGTTTGTTTTGATGTACGGATTCCCCATCTCCGGTGAGCCCCACCTCTGGATGCCCAGGATTGAACCCGGGTTGCAGCATGCAAGGCAAATGCCCTCCTGCTATACTATAGCTCTGGCTGGGCACATGTCTACATTTTAAAGACAGAGATTCAGAGATTGTCTTTGACATCCCCCCATCCAACCATAAGATGAAAACGTCCCCCCTCTCCGCTCCCTGCCCCCCCCCCCCCCCCCCCCCCCCGCAAGCGGGAAGGAGCATCAGAGCTCTTGATATTCACACATGGGTGTTCCCAGGGCACCGCGCAGGGGGCCTCCTCTAAGGAGGTTGCAAAGCTGCCACGGATCTGTTAGTAGTGTGACCTTGGGACTCAGATGCCTTCAGCACACTGGTGGCGCCCAGGGGTCCCTACCTGGGCCCCCAGATTTACCAGCAAGCCCAGTTCTCACTCACGACTAAGTGCCTCACCCACTGGCCATGCTGTGTGTGTTTGAGGATTTGCAGAGCCTGCTTCCTCCCCCAAGGGTTTCTCAGCAGAGGAAGGAGAAATGACTCCCTTCCTCCACCCCTGAGAGGTCTGGGAACCTGAGATCCAAACCGTTCTTTATGTTGTTGGAGCAATGAAACCAAGGTTAGCTAGCCGCCTTCCTGATCCTACAGAACATGACTTGGTAGAGATCCCAGCCCGGAACCGCTGGCAGGAGCCAGTCACACCAAGAAGAGAAGAAAACTCCCAGAGCTGGGTGGAGAGTGGGCCCAGACACTTCAAGGTAAGACTTGGTGGGGACCGGGATGGGGGGATGTCATAAGCATTTATTTTTATTGTATTATTAGGGATGTGTGTGTGTGTGTGTGTGTGTGTGTGTGTGTGTGTGTGTGTGTTGGGGAGGGGGTGGTGGTGGCAGAGACCAAATGCAAGGTATGGGTCTCACACATGCAAAAAAAAATACTCTCCACTAAGCTACCTTGGGGGCCCTCTTGCAAACTTTTTTTTGCTTTTTGGGTCACACCTGGTGATGCACAGGGGTTCCTCCTGGCTCATGCACTCAGGAATCACTCCTGACGGTGCTCAAGGGACCATATGGGATGCTGGGAATCGAACCCGGGTCGGCGTGTGCAAGGCAAACACCCTACACACTGTGCTATCGCTCCAGCCCCTAATTTTTTAATAAAAATTAGAGAGCTTGGGAAAGAGATAGTATGGCAGACAGGGTGCTTGCCTGTCATACAGTCCACCCAGGTTCAATCCCCGGCACCCATATGATTCCCCAAGCCCCACCAGGAGTGATCCCTGAGCACAGAGCCAGGAGTAAGCCCTGCACACTTCTGCGTGGCCCCCAAATTAAAAACAACAATGACTAAAGCACAGACCTGACTCTCCCCACCCCCCACACCTTTTCTAAAAGGAAAACGGCTTTTAGTCAGCACGTTGGAGGTTGATGGCCCTAATGACAAGACTGGTGGAAACTTTCTGCCTATCTCCTGGGTTCTCACAGCCCCCCTGTCTAGAGACATGCAGCTGAGCATGCGCTGTGCCTGTTGGGACTCCAGTGTTCGTTTCTGTCCCCTCAAAGTTCCTGAGCACTGCCAATCCCTGAGTAGAGAGCAGCTCTCTGAGCACCACCAGAGGTGCCTCTCCCACAAAAAAGAGGCACATGTGGACAGGCAAACAGGATTGGGGTGGCTGGTGTGTGTTCTCGGGGCCATGTGGGCCTGTCTTGACCGCCCAGGTAGAAAGCTCTGACCTTTTGCAGAGTGCATATGTGCCACTCGGGGGTCAGGGGCTACCTCTGGGGTTTTACACTGGACACCCCTCCCCCTCCCCCAAGCCTCCATTCCCGGCCCCCCCCCCCCCCCCCCCCACTGCTCCAGGCACATGTGAGTGTTCTCTTCAGCTTCTCAACAACTCTACCTTGGTGGTTCTGTAGGATCCAGAACCACTATACAGAGTCATAGCGAGGTTCTACAGCATGCCCAGAACCCCAGCCAGTGGGTGGAGGGGCAGGGTTTGAACCCTTCAATCTGGCCTCCTCAGGACCCGCAGTACTGGTTAGAGAGGTAGAAGGGGACTCCAGCTCGGGTCAGATACTATTCAAGAGGGTGTCATAACTCTTCTCTTGTGGTAAAATATGCACAATAGAAGAGCCCACACAACGCAAGGAAAACGGCCCAGAGCTTTAAGCGCGTGCCTCACTTCTGTGCAAGCGTCACTGCCCTCCATCTTTAGCAGTTTTTTCCACCGTGCCAAATGGAACTGTCTCCACAGGCACCGTGTCTCTCGCCTCCTCTGTGGGGGCATCCCGGAGGCCCCACGCTGTAGGCAGAGTTGCCCTCCCAGGCTGCCAGCACCATACCAGACCAGGCCCGGGGAGCGGGCGGCTGGCGTGGAGGGGAAGAGGGGGGCTGTTTCAGCAGCGATGACCTTGCTGCTTTCTGTTGCAGGGGGACTCCAGGACCAGCAGGACAGCTGGGCCCAGGGTCTGCGTCCAGGCCGGCAGAGGACTCGTGTCTCTTCCACGCCATATGGAGAAAGAGCCGAGGCAGAAGTTCCCCTTTGCCTCACCAGCCGAGCAACCCTTGTGCTCCTGGGGCTGTGACTTGGCCACAGTGTTTGGGGTGCCTGGAGCCCCGCAGGAGGGAGCCAGGCTCTCCGACACAGAAGCGAGCACGGACTCTACCCCCGAGCTACCTCCCTGGTTCAAGACCACCCCAAGTGCCTTCCTCAGCTCTGTCCTCAGGCCCCCGTGCTCTGTGGCCCTGCGACCTTACCGGGGGCAGGGGGGTCTGCTGAGCATCACGGTACCTAACTTGTCCACATGGGCCTTATCATCCACATAGACCGTTATTTGTCCACATATACCCTATCTGTTCACATGTACCATATCTGTCCACAATGCCTGCGGCATCCCAGCGCTCACTGCCTGCTGCCTTCTTGCGTGACCTCCAGAAGCGTCTCCAGATGTGAGAAAGATGTGTGTGTGTGTGTGTGTGTGTGTGTGTGTGGTGACTCCACACACCGTTCTCTTCTCCTCTTGGCTCTGTTTGTCTGGGATAGTGGCCTGGCCCCAACGCTTCGAGGACTTCCTGTGCTGGAGGCGACCCCATCACCTCCCCTTTGGACACCGAGACTCAGTCCAGCAGGAGGCTACACAGGCTGGGAGCCCTGGTGGACCCAGGAGAGGGTTTCTCCAATGTTCAAAGGCCAAAGGAGAGGATGGGAGAGGGAGGGGAGGCGGGGTGGGGGAGGGGCCCAATGTGCCTTATACTCAGTAGTGTAGTAACGGTTACTAATATGCCTTTCTGAATAAAGTGGTTTATCTGATCTTAAGCTGTGTCTCTTGTTCTGGTTCTGTGGCCCAGGGAGCCAGGACCCCCCCTCCTTTTCTTCTTTTTTTATAAATTTATTTATTGAATCAGTGAGAGCAGTTACAAAGCCTTCGGGTTTAAGTCTCGGTCAATGATGAAACACCCTTCCCTTCACCAATGCCCATTTTCCACCACCAAAAACCCCAGTCTGCCTCCCACCCTACACCCTCCCCCTACCTGTGGGGCAGACGATTTCCACATTACTCTCTACTTTGACCACATTCAATATTTTGACACCAGACCCACTATTACTATTCGGGATTTTACCCCAACACTCAGATCTGCCAAAAAGGCAACCTTAGACAATTTGTTTTCTATTGCTGGTTATGAATAATATATGATGTTGCGAGGCCACAGTAATGGCCGCGAGATTTTGGGATTCCGAACTCTTAACAAATCTGGAGGGATTTCTGCCCAAACCTGCTGGGTTCCGAGATTTGTTCCTGAGTCTCTGGGATCATGGCCTTTAAGGAGTCAGAGAGGCCATTCATGGGACAACCTGGGGTCTCATTGGGGCAGAGAGGAATGGACCAGCTCCATTCCCATCTCATGAGCCCCATGTGTCCCATCACTGGGGCCCAAAAGTACCCTCCCTCCTTCCCTTTTATGCCACCATCCTATTGGCCACTTCCCTGCACTCCCACCCCCCCCAGCCCGCCTTCTTTCCTTCTGAAGAAGAAAATGACCCCAGGGATTCCAAGCCCCAGGTTAAGGTCAGTAGACAGTACTCAGGGAGAAGACTGCCTGTGTGTGCCCCTGAAGAAGTCCCCAGGCTCTCCCTGGCTACCTC